ACTTTACATTACAATATACATAATAAATAATATAAATAATACTAAAATTACACTGTTCCAGATACCATTCTCTGCTCTTCTACTCACATTTACCTGCCCATGTTTAGTTATAAAAATGCCAAAAAGACCACACTCTCTCACACACACACACACACACACACACACACTCTTTTTCCTAGCTATTTTAATCAACCCGCACTACACTAATTAAGAAGAATTGATAATTAGAATCTGACTGTTCAGTGAAAAATTGCTTAACTGGCTCACGCTCTCACTTCTGAATTTAACACTGCTAATACAAGTGAAAGAAGAGAGTGTGAGAGTGTATGTGTGTGAGAGAGAGCACCACACAACACCTGACAACACCTGACAACACCATGACAATAGTGTCTCCAGCAGCAACAGTAACACATCTAAACCTCTGCATCTGACAGCCGTTCTCAGCTACTGTATAAAGCAGCGGTGATTAACAGACTCAAACCTGTACTGCATACTGCTGCACAGAATTCCACTGAAATATGAAGGAAATGTCTTCCCATGATTCATTAAGACACAAAACCATTGTGGCACGCCATTAGCAATACTGAAAAGAGAATCAATTGCTACACAGAGCTGGTTTATTACCCACTGATATATATCAGAGGTAAGTAGTTCAAATAGTTGTATCACAGGACAGAGTGATAAAGAGTTGGGTTATTATTTAGATGCAGCCCTCTCGGGTAATGTATGCATTCTTTTGTTGTGCAATTTATGAGAAAAACTAAAACCCAGAGGTTGTTAAAATTGCTATAGTAACTCATCAATTATGACGCTTAAGCGTACGCCAGTTATGAAGCAAAAAAGCTTCAAGGCTATAACAAAGTCAAATAAATAAAGAAGGCAAAAGCAAGAAAGTCAGGGGTGGTTTAAAATAAACCTGAGCGTGTTTTGTAACATGGAAACAAGTTCTGAAATAATCAGAGGCCTCATTTTCACCACTGATGATTTGTAAGATTCGGAATTTGACGTGCTCGAAATTGCACGTCAAAATAACACATTGTCAATATTTTTTGAGACCACCCAAAATTTCACAAATCACGTTTTCAGGGGAGCCCATGTCTTATTAAGGGGAGCCGAGCTCCCCCGTAGTTCGCACCCTGGTTTTAGGACTGCACACAATATGTCAAAATCGCGAATGAATTAGCAATTTAATTAAAGAAAAGCATTTAAGGCCTGTTTACAACAAGGATGATAACTATAAAGATAACGTTCTAAAAATCGTTCTCAATATTAAAGAATAGCAGAGTCCACACCACATCTATAACGATAAAGGCACAGAGAAACAATAATATTTTAATACATGTTTTTTAATTTTACATTATTATTACAATACATTTTTTGGTTAAATATTTTTAATTTGTAATAAGCACAACAAAATCATAGTAATTATTTTATAGTTATACTGAACTGTCAATGTGGGAATGTGGTTTATAAAAACTCAAGTGGAAAGAGATTTCTGAAAGAGGTTCGAGTTGGTTCTTGTAACACCCACATTTTTCAAGATTTTCCAAAATTATTTACGATTCTCACCCACTCGCTCTCTGCAGCGCATCCATTATCCAGTAACATCAACACTAGTGGGGCGGGTGGGAGGGGGATTGGACGTCTAATGGAGTGCCAACGCTAATGAGATGAATCTATCCATTATAATGCTTTAATGAGAGTAAATCTGCATGGCTGGTAATTAGTCCACGCCCCTGCATTAGCTCCACTCCTCGGAGGAGAGACTCTGTCTTGTGTTGCCAGAGGACATCAGAGCGGCTGCATACATTATGCTCCAGATGCTGCAAATTTTCATCATTTAGATGTGTTTCCATCAGGGAGCGGATTGATCAGGCACGGTCACGGCGAATAAGAGCACAGCAAAATGACAGGCCGGGAAGGAAAACTGCTGGCATTGTTCAAAAAGAAACCCCATTAGGCAGCTCCCAGTTGCTAAGCAGACACGTACGGCACAACTATTTAGAGCGGCTGCGAAGCAATATTGGGTTTACAGGAGCCGAGGCATTGTAAGATTCGAGACAACAGTCGTGTGATTCAGCCAGGATAACAAATCAGACAGGTGACTGAGAAGCAAACTGCACACTTCCTACTGAGATGAGCCAATATTAGTATTGTGCATACTACAAAGGTCTTACTTTTGGTCTTTTGCTGCTTTTATTTAAAAGAGATTAGAATGAGTAATAAAACGGCAAGATGAGAAAGTGTTGAGAGCCTGATTAGATCTTATATTGTCTGTAATGGCACCTCAGATTTCTGTTAAGCCACAGCACTGATATACTATACTACAGTGTCCTGTTTTTAGTCTTTTGATACTTTTATTTAGAGGACAGTATTAAAATAATAATAATAATAAGAGCAAGATCAGGAGATGTAGCAAGCCAGATTAGAACTCAAATTGCAAGAGCACCGCCGCTTTGTTAAACCACGGCTCTGACAGACTAAAGTGCCGGTCACACTATACTTATCATTCCATTGACTTCCATTCATTCTCATGCAGAAAAGTTTCGCATCTCAGTGGGTTCTGAAGTTCAAGTTTGGTGAACTCTGACCTGCAAGTTCGAATCGCATAAAACCATGTGACCAATAGAAGACTGATATGTCAAGGTATGACCTCGCAGCTGAAGTAAAATAACATATATTCAAAACTGCATGGTTGCACAAATAAAATGAATACCATATAAGCGGGTTAGCGCAATGTAACATATTAAACCGTAAAATGACTGTAAAAAGCTTGATTTACAGTTCAGATACAGGTTTTCACAAAAACAAAACGTTTTATAAAATTATCAACTTTACATTTCAGCCTTTAAACAAATTTTAAGTCAAAAGTATCAATTACATTAATTTAAACTATTATTATCAATCAAGTATTATATTAATTTAATAACATATGAATATATCTTAGTGTCTTAATTGTTTAGATTTTTATAATGCATTAGCATTAGCTTTTTGTCGATCCACCGGCTCACATTTACAACTGCGTAAAAATTTGTTGCGTAAAAATATGGGTCGATTTTCCCATTGGTCTGAACAAAAACAGCAGAAGGGCTAACTGAAAATGCCAATTCATTTTTTCATTTAAAGGACAGTAGAGAAAGTAATAAGAGAAGCAAGATCAGGGAATGTTGCGAGCCAGATTTGAACTCAAATTGTCTGCATAAGCACTTCCGCTTTCTGTTAAGCCATGGCTCTAACATTCTATAAAGTCCTATTTTTAGTATTTTGCCATTTTGATTCAAAGGACAACCATAAGAGGAACAAGATCTGGGAATGTTGCGAGCCAGATTAAAACTCAAATTGTCTGAATGAGCACCTCAGCTTTCTGTTAAGCCATGACTCAGACTTACTAGAGTGTCCTGTTTTTAGTCTTTTAATTTTATTTAGAGGAGAGTAGAGAGAGTAATAAGAGAGCAAGAGGCAAGATCAGGGAATGTCGCGAGCCAGATTAAAATCACATTGACTGCATGAGCAACACAGCTCATCACTAAACCAAGACTACGATGTCCTACAACATCTTTACAGAATGTTGGATTCAAACCCACGTCTTCTGAATGAGCACCACAGTACTGAAATACTACACAATCTTAAAAGCTCTTCTTCAACCTCAGCAGAACAACAAAACATTTTGTCTGAAAGCCATTACCGCACTGACTTCCATTTCAGCAGCCGGACTCTGGAGTGTCTAAATATTCGGTGTATGGTGAATAAAGCTCATCTAAGCCTTTCTCAAATGACGTCCTTGCACTAAAGAAAAAAGTGTTCTGAAATGGGCAGATTAGATTAGCGCTAGGAAGCTTTGATCTAAAGCTCGCTGGCTAGCTTTGATCTGCACAAGCAGCTCTTCACCATGACCAAAACACAATATGAGCCCATTTCACTTCCATTTGTATCAATTCTATGAGCATACACGACGATGAGAAGCTCTGCTCACCGTCAGTCACTGCCATTTATCCCTAATCAGAGTCACTTCAAGTCATGAATGGCGGCAGTGTTCCTGACGAAAATATGACCATCGAGAGCCTGGAGATCAGAGCGGCAGACTTCAAATGGAGACCATATTTACATAGAACAACATGTGTGGAAACACATGATGGCTGAAATGTACAATTATTAAGCGGCCGACAGACCCGGAAAGTTACAGGTTCAAAACCCACATAAAAAACCTTTGAACCATCATTATGCAGGTGGACTGTCCTTGAAATAAATTGTCACATGAATTCCACCAGCCCTGGTCATGTGGCCATAAATAAAGATTTTAAAATGACTGCCTAATTAACATCAACAATTAATCTAATCCAATTAAGTCGCCTTGACAACTAGAAACATTAAGCAGCCTTTCCAAGATCCATTTCTTTCAGCTAATCATAATTCAATTAATTAGTACGCCATTAACATTAGCATGAATATGAATAGGCTCTTCTTCATTTGAGCCAACCTGTGTCAGAAAGGTTTGTAAAATTCCCTGGGCGTTACTTTTCAAGTGTAATTTTGAAGGTTATCAGCGTCAGCCAGAGTCTCTCTTCATGATTGGCATATATCCAGCGGCTCTCTGATTCACTTTTGCATTTTGACGGTGCTAGTCATAATTGTGACAAGATACAAGCAGAAATGCTTGAGCCACTCCTATAGAAATAACTTTGGTCACTTATTTTTAGTGTTGTATTCCAGGCATGTTTTAATTAGATTTTATTCTATTAACCTCAATGTTTGTCAAATTCTGAGATCAAAGCTACTAGAAGTGGAAATAACCTGAGGTTTCTGTTCTGACGTTTTAATGAAGGCGATAATTTGAAGCGAGCGCCTCTCAGAATGCAGGACCTCCAGGTATTCACCTCCCACATTCAAAGGTCAGGAAAAGAGCAATGGCAGAAATAACGATGTGAATGCAGTTAACGACTGCAGGGCTTGAAGAGCGTGAGTGAGCGTGGTCTGAGGCGAGAGGAAATCATTAAGCGTACCTGGAGGAAGGTTGGGTCTCTTCCTCTTTTTGCTGTTTTCTGTTCCGTTTTCCAGAGGACAGTCAGAGCCCAGAGGACCATTGGAGCTGCTGAATTGCAGGGGTTCGTTGTTTGTGGAAGGGTCAAAGGACAGCGGATTCAGACCTGTAGAGGGAAAGAACAGATAAACTTGGTAAGTCTGCATGTTCTGTAACCATAGTCTCAAGAGTTTATATAGAAACTTATTCTGGCCAAGGAAGACAGAAAAGTCTGCCTGACAGATGTGTAATATGACCAACCACTTTTTCTGTGTGGTTTAAAAAAAAAAAGTGATTTAGCTGTGGGAAGATATGAGAGTACATTAACGTAACGTAAAATGTAACGTTATATATGTTTAAAACAATATGCATTTATAAAATGTTATATTATCATTACCAACATTCTTGTCATGTCAGAAAGCATGTGAATAATTAGTTATTTCAGTCTACTGACGGCTCTAGTTAAAAAAAAACAACAACATATAAATAAAAATATAAAAAGCCATATTTAATTTTGGGAACATGTTGAATATTATATATATATATATATATATATATATTCGTTCATTAATTTAATTAATTACATTTACAAAATTATATATATTTTTAATGTGTCCTAGTTGAAAAGTATATAGAAATAAAAACATTTTTTTTTCATAAAAAAATAAAAACTCTTACAAACTTCTGAATGACAGTGTCCATTTATTATATTTGTTGTGTAAAAATGGGTCTTTAAATCATGTGGCTGTAATTACATTTAAAGAAGGAGGTGCCTCACATATTGTAGGGCCCTTGGCAACAAAAAAATGTAAACACCCTTGTTCTAGGACATCTTAGATGTTTACTTGATACTACAAAGCCTCATGCATACTACAAAAAACCTCTTGCATATCTTACAGATCTCATAAAATAGCACTAAACCTCCCTTGGAATTTCTCATTTTAAGCAACAGGAGTTTTAAAATCCTAACCGATTATGAAATCTGGTTGCAGCACATACATAAGGAGAATCTTTGCAGATTATCTTCTCTCAAATCTTAAACATCTGTTTTGCGGTCGCGCATTGGCTATTGTGAAAGTACTGACGTAATCATATAGCCGTCATCATCCCGATTTCAATCCTAAATATCAAACATGTTTGATATGATCGGGGCGGCCCCGATTTGTGTGCGAGCAGATCGGGAGGTGCAAGATTCGATCTGTGAACGCCTCACATTACCAGATAATCCGCGCCGAACACCGGGACCGATCGAGGGGCTCGACAAGATTTTTTCTCCGATTCTCGGGAGGGGGAAATCGGGGCTAAATCGGGCTAAAAATCCTGTAGTGTGAGCCAGGCTTAAGGAGAGTCTTTACAGATTTTCTTCCCTCAAATCTTAAACATGCACACACTACAAGATTTGAAAATCGTGGCGTATCTCACACTACATGATATTCTCAAGATTATCATGCTAGAGGGAGCGCCTCACGTGATCTCATGCAGCAGATCGTCATAGACGTTTCAACAACTCTTTACATATGTTAGCTAGCATGCTAGCAGCTTTCTACACTCACCCAGTACGTTCAAAACGGAGGCGATTTCACCCCAGCGCTTCTCTATATCCTTATGGATGTGGTACGTTTTCGACACATTATACAGACAGTCGTGCTATTGCAAAACTTTCACAAGCAGTGTCCTCAATCTCCACTATCCAACAGACCCGTACAGCAGCTTGTTTTGTCATTAGTCATCATCCTGTTTTAAAATCCTAAATATCAAACATGTTTGATATGATCGGGGCGGCCCCCGATTTGTGTGCGAGCAGATGCATGATTCGATCTGTTCTGCACGAACATCAGAACTGACCGAGGTCACACACGCACACAGTCTCATGGGTTCGTACACATTTTTACCAATACATTTCCATGACTTTTCAATGACTTTTGAGACAATATTCATGACATAATGTTCCATTATTTTACAAGAATAAAAATCTGTTCAAATTCTCATAGCACATGTTAACTAAAATTAATGACTATTAATGCTATTGTTTGCTTTCTCGTTTTAGTAATAAGTTCAAGCTGCAACTGCGCCAGACGTTACTCCACACAGAGAACGTATCACATCACTGTATATTATCATTTATTTAACTCAGTTAAACGTTTTGAAAACTTTTCTCTTTCGTAACTGTTTACATTCACTTAAGAAAAAAACAACAATGCTTATGAGGATACTAGCCAGGATGGCCATTTTGACTTCATTTTGTGTGCATTTTTGCCGCTTAAACGCAACAAGCTGCTTAGAGCCCTGCATTTCAGCCCGAGCCCTGACTTATTTACGGCTTTGGGACATTTTTCACGTCATAGCTCAGACGCGGGCCGGGCATCGGGCTTGTTTTAGGCTTCCTCATTTTTATATTTTAGATATCCATCCATTTTTATGGTGATGAAAAGGATCTGCCGCACTGGTGAAAACAACATGAGACCGTGCTACCGCGACTGTCAAGAGCGGCTCGACTGTGATTAGTGTCCAGCAACAGCAGCGACTGCAGGAAGAGTTCCGCGTTAAAGCGCACACAATAAAGCTTGCCGCAAAACCCCAGCAAGTAATTACCATGATGAATGTGTCGGAGCCAGGGGAAATACAATATTAGCTGAGTTTTGGTTCATTTTTGTGAAGCGCTTCTGCTCAAGACCGAGACGGCTGAAAGCACAGTTTGTTTTCTAAAAAATCACTACGTATGCTGATATTGTGAGTGCACACAAATAAAAGTAGACCCTTAACAGTCCCGAATGATGTGTTACTCTTACCTTTATGAAAATGACAGTTGTTTCCACTGTTATAAGAAAAAAACGCAAGTGATCGCGTTGGCGACTCCAAGTCCTGCAGAGCGCGCTTTAGCTTTCACTCTCTGCACAAACGACTGGATACGCGCCTAATATAGCACACATTTATATAGGTTAAACGTTTAAACTAACATTGTGATATGCTTTTTAAAGTATTTTATATATAGATTTTATTTTAGTCAAGTAGGCTAAACATAGGCTATGATTAACTCACTGTCTGCCGCTGGCCGCTCGTTACTTTAAAAACAAAAACTTAAATTTAACAAACAAAAAAATGTTCCAAACATATTTCTAAATTAACTTAATAAAGAAACGAAAATAAATATAACCACTTTGCCATTAAAAACGAAACTGAACTATTTTAATGGCTACAACAGCAGCTGTGTAATGGGGAGAAGAGAAAGAGAAAAAAGACACGTGCTACAGTCAGACTCGGCCGGTAATTCTGATAAGCTGTTGGACAAGGGCCGGACAAGGGCATATGTTTGAGGCCCGTGCAGGGTTTTTTACTGAGCTTGTCTGGTACCAAACTCAATTTGGTACTCGCAAGGCAGCTTTATATACGCATGAGTGCGCTTTGGATGTGACTGCACACCGCCTCTGGAGCACGCGAGTACCGAATGGCTAAAAAGACGTGCAAATAAATAATACATTTTTGTGACGATGCAACAATGAGCCGATTAGGTAAGTGACAATTCTGTCAACTGTACAGAATCACGAGTGAAAGTCTTGTATCGCAGCGTGCAGCAGCTCTTTAGTGCAGACGAGATGCGCCGATGTGAAGCCGTTTTAAGAGAAAGTCAGAGAGAGAAGACGCGGTACAGCTGAATCACTCACGCTCTTTTCAAATGACTGATTTGATCTGATATTCTGTGTGGATTTATTTACTCATTTAACCTACATGCTATAGGCTATTGAATAAATGTGTGAATATCCATCATTTTAAAGTCGAAAGCTACAGGAATGAGTAAAACTCTATGTGATGTAGCCTATGCGCAATCCCGCACCGAAATTCAGGACCTGATTAAACATAATTCTATTATACAGAGTTTTGTGAAATAGATTTCCATGACTTTTCCAAAACTGGGTTTATTTATTTTTCCAAAACTTTTCCAGGCCTGGAAATTGCCATTTTAAAATTCCATGACTTTTCCGGGTTTTTCATGACCGTACGAACCCTGTTATTAACCCCTCTGTGAATTCCATTACAGAAATTGACTGCAGGTTCTGATGCTAAATCAGGAAATGTTCTTGAAACAGCAATCAATACCTAAGGACTCCCTCCATTTCCATTCTAGACATGATGAGAAAGACAACAAAAAAGACAAAACCATCCAATGAGAGATGGATTTGATAATAAAAACGACAAGATTGCAAAGATCCTAAAGATGTATAATTTCAGACAAAGCTTTAGCAATATAAAACTAACTAGTGTTTAGCAACACTAGTATGTCAGTTGTTGGTTGTATTTAAATTGATTGCCATATCAGCTTCACCGGCTATTACGTGGCAGATACAGATTAAACATTCAACAATATAATATAATAAATACATTATAATAAAAACAAACATTTTCGGTTCTTTAAATGTACTTGTGAAAAAATAAGTTTTTCTGTCCATCTTATAAAATAAGTCCTTAAAAGTTACTAGTATGTTGGTAACTTCCTGTCCCGTTATACAGCAACGTGCATTACTTGCTGTTTAGAATACAGCGTGATGTCTGAGATATGCATGCTGGTCTGTTTCATGAAATATCATCACGCCTCTCGGTTTACATTGTTTTGCTTGGCATTATTTGCCTGAAGGATACAGAAGTGTTGGGGCTGGGGGGCTGTCACTGCATATCCCGTATGAGGAGAGAGATACAGAGAGAGACAGAAAAACAGACTACTGAGTTCAGAGAGCACGGCTCAAAACTCTGCATCATAATCTGCCACATCTGCCCTCTACAGTGCGCAACCTCTCCAACATCACACTGCTCATGTGTATAAGATAGCAAACGGCATCTGAACGGAGAAGGAGGCAACTGAGTGTGAAAAAAGCAAATAAGTAAAGCTGGATATGAAATCTGTGACAGAAGAGCAGCGCTGCAGAATGACAGCACGAGAAGAGACAGAAAAAACTGGGTGGCTGTAGACTCATTTAAACAGCGCCGAACAGCCCATCCAAGCTCTCTCTCGCTCTGGCTGACGCTGCATGTGCGACTGCAGGAGCGAGAAGTCCTTGGCATGTAACGAGCTGTTAATGAAATAAGAGGAAGATGTTCTGTAATGATTTATTCAGTCCAGATCAAGCCTGTCAA